TCCTTTTTTTGGTATTTTCACGCAAATTCTTCTGCTAGTTGGGGTTTAGTCCAATTCTGCATCCTTTCCTTCAAGGCTCAGGGGTCCAAGATTATCTTTTGTGTCTGTGTTAATTGGTTTCCCTTTTCTTTGTTGAAGAGGGTCTGTGCAATCCTTCTGTCTAGTCCGCCATCTTGCCGGAACCCCAGTAGTTGCTTTTTCTTGATGCTGTTCTTAGTCTTGTCATTCTGTGTCTAGTTCTGGGGACCCAAGCTACAGAATCATCACCTTTCCCCCCTGTATTGCCAAGAACTTTTCCCTGTTCCTCCTGCTCCTGCTGTCTCCATTCATTTCTCTTCTCTTTCTTGGCTCTGTGCCTCTTGAGCTGCCTACTTTCTGTTACCTGCTATCTGTTTTTTGAAGTGAATTGGAAAGTCTTTAAATACAAGGGCATCACATGAAAGGGAAGGACTCAGGGAAGAGGTAACTACAGGAGGAAGTGGGAGGAGAGCTGTTAGTTACATTGTGGGGAATTGCAGTCTGTGACATAAAACAAAATGTGTATGAACTGCTGAATGGAAAATCAATTTGCTCTGTAATCTTGCCCCCAAATCACAATATAAACTGAATTAAATAAAGACAAGGGCGTCTCATTTATCTTGATCACTGTACTTAGAACAGTGCCCGACACAGATGAACAGGGGCAGAGCAGCTGCCTCTGCTACCTTTGAGTGCTTTCTGTGTCCTGGGCTCCATGCTAAATACTATTTTAATATTTTTAATGCCCTCAACAACTTTAAGAGGAGGTAGATTACTGTTATCATCCCCACTTTAAAGATGGAGAACACATTTTGAAATAACTTCAAGTCATACCACTTGTTCGCTTAGTAACCAGTTTTTCTCTTTCCTGTGGCACTTGGAATGGAAAGGTGAAACAATTCAAAGACAAAAAGTAGAGCAAAAAGAGGAAGCACCTGCAGAGTAAATGAATGACTTTTCAAGCAATCACATTGGAGAAGGTCGTCTGACCTAACACTTGGCCTCCTTAGTTCTTATTCTTACTAGTTCTTTGCTATTCTTGTCCAGTTTAAATGCTTTGTATTATGTCATTAGCTTTGCAAACTACTTGGCATACGATTGGATTTCTCATTTTCTCAATTTGTAAGCATTTTTATACCCCAGAAGTAATTGGAGGCCTTCCTGGAAACAGTGGACATGACAGAGTATACATTTGTATTGCATTCTTTCTTCCCTTTTACACATCACCTCTTAACAAGCAGAGAGTGTTGTTTTGCTTGGACAAATGATCCTGAGAAGAACATTTTCAAATAATTGGACCTCCTTAAAGTTAATATTTAACAAAAAAAGAAAAATTTCTTTAACCAAGACTGTAGGGTAGTTATTATTGGTACATATTTTTGGTATTTATGTTGTTACACTGTTAAAACATCAGCTTTATGTAGTTGCACTGTCATATGTAATCCCTAGTTTAGCGTAGTCACTGTGTGCTTTCTAGTCAGTCTGACGCGTGTGACCCAATAGGGTATAGTAGAACTGCCCCATAAGGTTTCTTAGGCTGCTTCCGTGATCGGGTTGCCAATTCTTTTCTCCTGTGGAGTTGCTTGTTAGTTCAAACCTCCGACCTTTGGGTTAGTAGACAAGGACTTAACCATTGTGCCACAAGGCTCTTTAGTTTAGTGCAGAGAAAAGATAAACACCCTGCCGCTGGGGGGGAAGTTATCTACACTTCAGTATGAAATGGTAGAAGAAATAATGTAGTTAAACTCATTTTACAAAATACTTCATGTAGAATTTATATGGAAGAATATAGATTTATTGTATCTCAAATACACATGTATTAGTGGTTAGATGTGGTTAAAGTTGTAGCATTTGACACTGCCAATATTTGAACCATAGAAGAAGGAAGAATTTTTGTTTTAATTACCCTAATTTTTCTTTTTATGTATTTTTATTGTAAGTCATTTCAAATTCCCCCTTTTTGGCTGGCAGGGAGATAGTCAGATATATATTATAAATAAAAGCTTCCCCTCCTTGTATAATGCACATCAGTAGAAAGGTGGGGTTTGCTTTATAGTTGATTTCTAGACCATAAATGTTTTGTAAGATGAGGGGCACATAGAAAGGAGGATAATGGCCGTTGCTGGACTCTGGGGGTGCAGCTGGTTGATGCACTTGGCTGCTGCTGAAAGGTTGGAGCTTTGAGTCCACCCAGAAGTGCCTTGGAAGAAGAGCCTAGTCCTCTCCCATTGAAAACTCTGGGGAGCACAGTTCTTCTTTGACACACATGGGTTTGCCGTAACTTGGGTTGACTGGGTGGCAACTGATTTAATTGCATTTACCAAGTGTTCACTTAGGAGTTGGGATAAGTGATCAGAATTAATAGGCTTGTTGTACAAAGAAGGTTTAAGTTAAATATCAACTATATAAATTCTCTTTCAGGTTTTTGGTAAGATACTAGAATTGGGGTTGCAAATTCTCATTGGATATTTAAAAAACCAAAACAGCAAAACCAGATTCACTGCCATCAGAACAGGCTTTGAAAACGGATGGCTCTCTGGAGTCCAAGACCAACACAGGGACATGAGGGTCAGTAAGTGGAGTGGACTCCTGAGCCAGCTTGCTTTCCTGCCAGGGGGTCAGGAAATTCCTGCATCCAGCAAGCACTGCCAGGCAGACCTTGGGGACGCTGCAGAGTTAAGGGCTTGTGATGAATGATCCTTAGGTTCCTTTCTTCCTCATTTATATAAACATTTTAATTGTAGTAGGCAGTCCCATCTGTTTCACTAATTTCCACTGGAGTGGCATAGTGCCTAAGGAATTTGACTGCTAACCAGAAGGCTGGTGGTTCAAACCCACCATCCACTCCTCGGAAGAAAGACTGAGCAATCTACTTCTGTAGAGACACCGCCTCGGAAACCCAAGGAGAGGTTGCTATGAGTTGAAATCAACTTGATGGCAGAGGATTTTTTTTTTTTTTTTAAATCCTTAGTAAAATTTATCATATAGATAAGAAATTACAGTGAATGTAACTTGCATTTCTGCCTTTATTGTCCTCTTCATTTAGTTCAGACCAAAAAAAGCTATTTCATTACATTTTAATTCCCTAGGAAAATAAAATGGAACCTCCATTATTTTGATTTTAAGCTTAAATGGAAACAGTGGTTGAGTGTGTCCCACTGACATATAAACGTCACAATACCATTCTCTTCTGAGTATATATAGTCTGTAAACCTAGAAAGCTTTTTTAATTGATCTCCTACATGAAGTTTATATTATCACATCTATATTGTTGTTGTTATGTGCTGTCGAGTCAGACCTGACTCATAGCGACCCCTCCTTAGGTTTCCGAGGCAGTATCACTATGGAAGTAGATTGTCCAGCCTTCCTTCCGAGTAATGGCTGGTGGGTTTGAACCACCAGCCTTCTGGTTAGCAGTCAAGTGCCTTAGGCACTGTGCCACCAGAGCTCCTTGGGCAATCTACTTCCATAGTGATGCTGCCTTGGAAATCCAAGGAGGGGTTGTTATGAGTCGGATCTAATTCGATGGCACATAACAACAACGACAACATAGTTTCTGTAATGAATGAATGATTTGTGATTTCTTCCTCAATAGATACATCCTTTCTTCATCTGAACCAAGTATCAGTTTTGAATTGACTGATTGGTTTGTTTTTCATTTAATGGCAAGGACTAGGAGGTTGTTTGTATTGTGGAATTTAGTAGAAGGTCAGCAAAAAAGAGGAAGGCCCTCAAGGAGATGGATTGACACAGTGGCTGCAACAGTGAGCTCAAACAGCAATGATTGTGAGGATGGCATGGGAACGGGGTTGCTCTGAGTTGGAACTGACTTGATGGCATCTGGCAAAAACAGTCTAGTGTTAGAGTTGGAAGGGTCCTCAGCTGTTAACCAGTCCAGCTGTACGGTTGGTACAGAAATGCCAGTGCACAGTATTAGACACATGGTTGCCCAGCTTTTGCTGGAATACTTTTCCTGATGGGAGACCTGTTATCTTTATTGACAGCTGGTTCCAGTGTTTCAATGGCTCTGTTGGGTAGCACCTACTGTTTTTAAGCCACAGTGTGCTCATGGTTACTTACACCTTGGTCCTCATTCTGTCCTCTGAAGCAGTAGATGGCCAGTCTTTCTCCTCATAATAGCACAGACATATTCCTCTCGTCTCTGAGCTTTACTTTTCTTACCTATAAAAATGATCTGAGTTACATAACTTACTAGATTACATCACTAGGATTGAGAGGAAGGACTGAAACAATTGTGACCTTAAGCAAAAATCCTTTTCCGTTCTCAGAATAGTAATCTTACTTTTATCACTGGTATGTATTGTAATGGGAAAAACACCAGTGTGTTGTCCCTTGGCTTGGGAGCCTTGATAGGTAATTTCCAGTTGATGTTCTTACCGTTAACAAATGATTGAATGAACTCAGTTCTTCATTGAACATTTATTGACCATTCACCATGGGCCTGGTACTTAGCCTGGGCCTTAAGTGAATATGAATAACAAAGAAGAAGGCAGATAGGTTTCTTGCCCTGTTGGGAGTTAAGTTTTCTCCCCTAGATGTTTTTACTTTTAGAAAGAATGCTTTTCATTAGTCAAAATTCCCCTTGGTTTTTTAGTTTTCTAAATGATCCAGTAAGTAACAGCATGTCTTTGTTTTGTAGATATATGGAGTCTGGGAGTGATCCTTTTCATGCTGGTGTGTGGGCAGCCACCCTTCCAAGAAGCCAATGACAGTGAAACATTGACAATGATCATGGATTGCAAATATACAGTACCATCCCATGTGTCTAAAGAATGTAAAGAGTAAGTAAAAAACAAACTATGTGGAAACCTCAAGCATTCCTATTAAACCTAGAAATGTTACTTTATTTCATTAATGTGCCAAGAAAATCTGAGGTGACCTCAACATCCTAACTTACAACTGGATTTATTTTTTGAATTTAAGATTTCAATTGCTATTAAGAGTGTTTTGGGAGGTCACCCCAGAATATGATATGAAATTTAATATTAGAATAGAGAATGAATTAGTCTGTTTCTTAAATCACACTGTTTGAAGAAACCTTTTACATGGCAAAAGGTTTTACATCAGCATCCACTTCACTTGATGTGACGGTATTACCATGGGAACTGCTTTTCTGTGCATCAGCATAAAAGCAAGACCACCTGCAATTGTTCTACGTTTCAGAGATGAGTGAGGGCATTTTCTTTCCTGAACTAGACTGTCCGCATGCCATTTTTGACCTACAGAACATGCTTCATAGTTGTATTCACTTCCCTTCCCCTCATCTAACTAAAGAGCTCTGTTTGGGTTTTGACTATGGGAAGCCAGGAACCAAATGTTTACTTAAGTTGATTATTTGGCACTTAATGTGCTTTACAGTATTTTAATACTATGATATATGTGTAGTGAAAAATACAGTAATAGAGGAGCTGCTGGAAGTTCAGTATTTCATTGACATTATGAGTGATATTTTTTAATGACCTCAGTTGAGAATTATAGCCACTACTTAAAGGATTTTGCTGTATCAATAGAATTTTAAGTTTCAGATCAGAATATTAAAGATATATTTCTCCCATTAGCTGGTAAGAGGGAAATCTGAAAGCTTAGGGAATATTTTCTCCAAATGGAGCCCCATTTTTGGCCATGTGATAGATGATTATGAACTTAGGTAGTCACACTGGATTCAAATACTAGCTTTTCTGTTATTGATGTGAGAGTGGAGAACCTACCTAATGAGGTAATTGTGAAAATGAAATGAGTCTGTGTAAAGACTCTTAGCTCGGTCCTTTGCACACACAATGCCCTCAGTGTAAATGTTGATGGTGGAGTTGGTGATTTTGTGCCATGATTATTTTTATTCTCTACCTCAGGTAGCAGGGCTGCTGTCTATGGGTGGAGAGGGTGTGCATGTTAGATGTTGGTAATCCGAGGAGTGTCTCCACAGCCCTTACTCAAAAGAACTAAAACAGATTAACTTACTTTTATTTTGACATGTAACATTCACAAGAGTATGTGAAAAAAAATGAGCACCTTTTATATCTGTCATTCAGCTAAAGAAGTAAGAACAGTTACTATTATCTTAAAAGCCTTCTCGATGCCTCTCTCCTAGAAGTATTAACTTTGATAATTAGAGTACTGTTCAGTTTTTCTATTTTTTCCTGTGTCAGCTTTGCTAAGTTATATCATTGAAGGAACTTGTCCATTTCATCTAAATTTTCAAATATATTGGCCTCAAGTATTTATGACATTCTTTTACGATATTTTTAAGTCTATAGGATCTGGGGGGATGTTGCCCAAAACATTCCAATACTGACAGGTTGTGTGCCTTTGCCTTTTTTTTTTTTTTCTTTATCAGTTTTGCCAGAAGTTTGTTGATCTTATTTCTCTTTTTCAAAGAACTACCTTTTGCCTTATTTGACTCTTTTCCCCCTCAACTAGCTTAGAAGTTATGATCTATTATTTTAGTGATCTTCTGAAAGCACACATACATATTTATACACTTAATTTAACAAAATCTATAGTTAATCTGTAACTTTACCCTCATCCTAAAAACCCAAAATCCTTGCAGAACTTTAATTATCATCCAATATTTTAGTAATACTTTTTACTCCACAAATTTAACAGTATCATCATTTCATACAGTCAAAAATTACTGAGATTTAACCAGATATTTGCCAGGAATTTTCTTTATCCATCCTTCTTGTATGTATATAAGGCCTTTTACTTGGGATCACAGTCTTCTGAAAATGACATCCTTTAGAATTTCTTTTGGGGAGCATCTGTTGGTGATAACTTTTTCTCAGTTTTTATTTGAAAATGACTTTAATTTACATATGTATTGAAAGTTTCATTGAGTATAGAATTCTAGGTTGACAATTTTGTCTCAGCTTGTTAAAAATATTATTCCACCGTCTTCTGATATCCATTGTTGTTCAGCTGTTTGTCTTTTTGTTGTTCCTTTGTAGGTGATGTCTTTTCTCTCAGGCTGCTTTAAAGGTATCTGCTTATTACTCCTGGGACATATTAGTCCTCCTGGACCAAGCTTTATGTTATTTGATGAATTGGGAAAGTTCTCAGCCTTCTCTTTTCAGAGAAACCCACTGCCATTGAGTCAATTCTGACTCATAATGACCCCATTGGGTTTCTAAGGCTGTAAATCTTTACAGAAGTAGACTGCCTCATCTTCTTTCTGGGGAGCTACCCACTATACTGCCAGAGCTCCTTCTTCAAAGAAAGCTTTTCCCTATTTTCCATTCCCTTTGGGAACTCTGATTGGTAGTATGCTAGATATTTTCACTCTGTCTTCCTTGTTTTTTAGCCTCTTTTATATTTTCTCTCTCTTAGTCTACTCATGCAGGGTATTTTAGTTTCTTGGTTCTACTTAGTTAATTCTCTGTGTCTGATTTGTTGTTTTAAGTAAACAACAAATCAGACACAGAGAATTTCATGTTACTTGGATCCACAATCTATACCCATGGAAGCATCAGTTAAGAAATCAGACATTTTATTGCCCTGGATTTATCTGCTGCAAGTGACCTCTTTAAAATGTTAAAGAGCAAAGATGTCACTCTGAAGACTAAGGTGTGCCTGATCCAAGCCATGGTATTTTCAGTCACCTCATGTGTGTGAGAGCTGGACAATGAATAAAGAAGACTGAAGAAGAATTGATGCCTTTGAAGTGTGGTGTTGGCAAATACTGAAAATACCACAGACTGCAAGAAGAACAAACAAATCTGTCCTGGAAGAAGTGCAGCTAGAATGCTTCTTGGAGGCAAGAATGGCCAGACTTTGTCTAACCTGCTTTGGTCATGTTGTCAGAAGGGACCAATTTCCAGAGAAGGATATCGTGCTTGGTAAAGTAGAGGTTCAGTCAAAAAGGGGAAGGCCCTCAGTGAGATGGATTGACATAGTGGCTACAATGATGGGCTCAAGCACAGCCAGGATTGTAAGGATGGCATGTGAATGGGCGTTTTTTCATTCTCTTGTACATAGAATTGCTATGAGTCAGAGGCAACTCAGTGGCACCTAACAACAACAGTTTGTTGTTTAGTTTGTCCATTGATTTTTTAAATTACAATTCTTATTTTCACTTTTAGAAGACTACTGTAGTTTATTTGTTTTTGTTTTTCCCTAACTCTTCATAGTAATTTTATATAGTCTTATTCCTTGGTCATATTTTCAAATTTCTTCTTCATGTTATAGACATACTCAGCATAGTTTTATATTCTATGTCTGAAAACTTCAATATCTGACTCTTTGCTTTCCAGTGTTGCTGTCATGTTTTGTAATTCTTGATTTCCTTTCAGTTTTTTCGAATGTAGGTCACATACCTTGTAATAACATTTAGGGAATTCTTTGAGGCCTGGTTTTAAGTTGTAGTCCTACAAAAAAAAAAAGGAATTTGCATTTGCTTCTCTTACTGTTTGGCTTGGAGCTATCAGCCTGAAAGCAATTTAAAGTGACTTCTTTACTATGTGAGTGACAAAGACCAAAAACATACATGAAGACCAAGTTTCCTGTTAACTTCTCCTAAGCAATCCGTTTGTTTCTCATTCCTCATTCACCCTCACACTGAACCTGGGATCCCACATCTTACAAGGACTCCAGTTGAACTCCTACTTTCAGTAGGCTTTACACATAATATTCTGTTCCCTTCACCCAGTGTAGCTTTTAAAACTGAAGCAAAAACTGTCAGATCAGAGGACAGCTTTGTTGACTGCTTCCCAAGGTTCTGGCTTTTATCCAGTTTTAGCTGCTAAGTATTCCTTAATCCCCCCCCCCAATATAACAATGTCTTTAAATAAAATATTTTTCTAAACATGTATTATTACAACATTTTAGTTGTCTGTATTAGGAGAGTCATTCATTTTTGAAATAGAAGTTGGCTTGTGGGCTCGATTCTGTATGTTGTTGCTGATCATTGCTTCTGGATCTGAAATGCCATTAAGGCAGCAATTAATTCAAGGATAAATGTTAATTTGATACTGGCATTATTTATCGATTATAGAAAACTGTATTTGTATGTTTGGCTTATCAGTGTATCTAGAGGTTGTGATTTTTTTTATTTCACAAATCTGATGGCACTAAATTTTTTTTATTTCTATCTACTCTCCCAAAAAAACTAATTAAACTGATGGTATAAAAGTAGGAAAAAAGTTAAGTAATAAAATAACTCACCATTACTAATCCTGTCAACAGTTTTCTTTAATAATGGATTTCCCTCTTTTCCAGCCTGATCACAAGGATGCTACAGAGAGATCCCAAGCGAAGGGCCTCTCTAGAAGAGATTGAGAACCATCCTTGGCTCCAAGGAGTGGACCCTTCACCAGCCACAAAGTATAACATCCCCCTTGTGTCCTACAAAAATCTCTCAGAAGAGGAGCACAACAGCATCATTCAGCGCATGGTGCTTGGGGACATAGCAGACCGCGACGCCATTGTAGAGTACGTCAGCTCACCAGTCTAGGGTTCATAGGTTTAGGGTTCTTGGAATGGGCTCTCTTTACTCATTAGGGCTTTTGGACACTGCACAATCTATAGAGTTCCTGTGGCAGGAGTTATGTCTTACTGATCTTTAAAGTTCTTGGCCCAGTGCCTGGCACATAGGTTTTCTTATACTAGTAGACAAGTAAGCTAGTACTGGGTAGTGCCGGTGAGAGCTGTGGCCTTTCTCTATTCATCAGGGGCGTAGATTGGAATATCCTATTTTCTTTTGCAATACACGCCTTGTCCATAGTGGTATTGTCTCCATTCCTCCTTTGTCTCCTGCGACTTGCCCCACTGAGCAGGGAGACTGAGGCAGTAGTACCACAGGCTTGTTGTTGTTGTTGTTATGTGCCGTCGAGTCGGCCCTGACTCATAGCGACCTCCTTGGGTTTCCAAGGCAGTATCACTACGGAAGTAGGATTGCCCAACCTTCCTTCCGAGGAGTGGCTGGTGGGTTTGAACCGCCAGCCGTCTGGTTAGCAGGCAAGTGTCTTAGCCACTATGCTACCAGAGCTCCCACCACAGGCTTAGAGTTCTCTAAATCAGGGTTGGCAAATGAGGCCAGTTTCATGGTTTTATAAGTAAAGCTTTATTGGACTACAGTTCTGCACATTCATTTATTGTCTGTGGCTAACTCTGCTATAGTGGCAAGAAGCCTAAAATAGTTGTCCTTAGGTCTTTTAGAGCCCCTGCTGCCACAGCCTAGACCCCAGGCTACACAAGGTATTGATTATATCCTTAAACACCAAAGCCAGGTTTTAATGACCTAAGAACTTTGAAAACAAGGATAATAGAGCACAAAGATACAGTTGCTTTGTTTTAATGATGATTAATTTCTATAAAAGTTCCTGTCGATGAAAAATATGAAACATTTCCACAAATGAAAAATGAAAGTTCTTACCATGTTGCATGAAATACCTGAGTATAATGCAAAGAGGGTGGCTCTGCGCAGCAAGAGTGAGGTCCCACTGGGAGTGTGCTCTGGCATGAGTAAGTGACCTGACCAGTTACCCCGAGGGGTGAGGAGGCAGCAGGGACACCTACAGATCAGCGTCGTGTGGGGCTGTCATAGCTCGTGAGAGGGGCTGGTCCTTGAGAGAGGTGCTGTCTGCATAAAGGACATGTGACTAGGGCAGTTTTAACACACTAGAAAAGAGAGCTATAAAACTAAACCCACTTCTTAATTTTGGTTTTAGTACAGATTGCTACAAGTGTCCAAGTGCATTGTGATGAGTCCTTACAGCTTGGCCCACAGCTACTGAAATGGACCAAAGAACCAAAGAGCAGGAGGTCCACTCCTGCTGCCAGGGACACTCAGCTCAGGAAAGTGTAGGAAAGAGTTTTGCATTTTTGAGTAGAGGAAAAGCTATTTGTATCTCCCTGAGTTGCTTTAGTGTTTTTTTTTTTTTTTTGGTGGTAAAATATATATAACCAAAATGTTGCCATGTTTACTGCCTCCTTAAGTGCACAGTTGAGTGAGATCAATTCCAGTCACTGTGCTGTGTAGCCACCACCGTTTCCAAAAGTTGGTCATCACCCCAAGCAGAAGCTCTGTTCCCATTAGGCAATAACTCCCCATTCTCCCCTCTCCTCAGCACCTGGTAACCAATAGTTATTCTATGCGTTTTTCTGTTGTAGATATTTCATGTTAGTGGAATAATGCAATTATCTGTCCTTTTGGGTCTGACTTTTTCAGTTGGTATACTGTTTTCAAGGTTCATCCACACCATGGCTTCATTTCTTATTACGGCTGAATGATACCCCACTGTATACCACTTTTTTGTTTAGCCACTCATCTGTTGATGGAAACTTGGGTTGTTGCCTTAATGTTTTTAGCTTAAATAATCACAGTGGAATCAAAAACCCAAAACCAAACCCATTGCTATCAAGTTAGTTCTGACTCATAGTGACCCTATAGGACGGAGTAGACCTGCCTCATCCAGCTGGAAAGGCTGTAATCTTTACGGAGGCAGACTGCTGTATGTCTCCTGTGGAGCATCTAGTGGGTTTAAGCCAATGACCTTTCAGTTAGTGACTTAGTGCTTAACCACTGCACAAGTAGGACTCCGTTAAGTCATATAAACAACAACAAAAAACCCACTGCCATCAAGTTGATTCTGACTCATAGTGACTCCCATTAGGTTTCCAAGGCTGTAAATCTTTACAGAAGTAGATTGCCTCGTCTTCCTCCCACCGAGCAGCTGGTGGGTTTGAACCACCGACCTTCTGGTTAGCAGCCAAATACCCTAGGCACTACCACTAGAGCTTCTTTGAGTTATATTAAAAAGTAAATAAAGAGTCATATATCACTGTTTAATTAATGCAAATTTAGTTACAATTCCAAAAGGAGGGGAGCACTTTAAATGGTTGGGTGACTCTGCACATGGACCAGATGACGCAGGAGAGGGGAGAGCTGAGCTTGCTGTCCCAGGCGGTCTCAGTTCTTGTGTGCCCCACACATGGTGAGCAGCTCCTCTTTCTGAGGTTGATTCCTGCATTTAAAGACCTTTGACTTGCCCCTGAACACAAGCCAACTGCTTCGTCCGGTACTCGGCTGAGAAACCATTCTAGGTGATTGTGACCCCTGAATTTGACCTTGGGCTTTTTGGAATCCCAAAGCTGGGTCTGCCCTGCCTCACTATACATTTTGTAAAAAAGTGAGCCCCGCTATTGTTTCTTTTCTAAGTATTCAGTGTGAATGTTTTCAGTAACTACAGAAAGTATCTGAAAGCACACATGTGTTCCTGGGCCGTGTGGGTCCTCAGTAGCTCTCTTGGAGCACTCTGAGGTGTGTCCCATGGCGGCCAGCTATAGGATGTAGGAGAGCGGGCAGGGATTTGCGCCTTGTTGGGCATTAGGCCCCAACTCCTGCTAGCACAGCGCCCGGCCAGACTAGGTACTTGGCTAGCAGGATTTTATAAGTGGGTGAAAGAATACACTGATTTTATTCAAAGAAGAGATTAATAACAGCATGCTCTCAACTACATTAATAAGTCTTTAGTGCCTAAAATGCCAATAAAAGCAAAGAGTCTAAAAATAACTTCCGTATTTACTTTATTGATACTGGTGTTTCAGTGCACGTTCATGTAGCACAGAACTCATCTTCACCTTGTACTTCAGATGGAAGCCAAGTAAGCCAACTTAATCAAAATAACACTGCACACAAATTAAATTTTCAGGAAACCTGTATACTCTTGGAAGCTTCTTACCTTTTCTTAGAATCTAAAACTAACATCCACTGCCGTCAGTGTTACGGATTTTTCTAATACAGATGTTGTTATGCAGTTGTTTTCTTTAGCATTTCAAAAGTGACCTAAATAACTACTTGTGGTCTGCACCCAGTTTGTTTTTCTTTTGCATAATTTTATAGATCACAAGTAATTGAATTTTGTTAGCTTGTACTTTTTTTTTTTTTTAAATCCAGTTCTACTTTTTGTAAAAAACCAAACCTGTGAGTGTGGCTTGTGTTCACTGTGACTTTGTTTTCCTCAGAGCTCTGGAGACTAACAGATACAACCACATCACAGCTACTTACTTCTTGCTCGCTGAAAGGATCCTGAGAGAAAAACAAGAGAAAGAAATACAGACCAGATCTGCAAGCCCTAGCAATATCAAGGCCCAGTTTAGGTGAGAAAAAAAATCTTCACTGATTTTAGTAAGTTTACGTTTTGAAATAGTAGACCTCCCCCCCCCCCCCCAAATGCTTCCTCATTGTGGGGTGAGAGAGTGCAGTGATCCTGGCCTCGTGGGTAAACCGATTCACGCCTGGGTTTTTCATGTGTGCATGGGGAGGGTGTTGGTTCCTTTGTCACTACGGGTCACCTTCCCCTTTTAGGCTCTCTGGGAAGAGGGGCTGCAGCTGGTGACCTGACTAGGAAAGTGTGTTAGGAGAAGCAGCCTCAAACCAGAGTTTGCAAACCATTTTCATTAAACTCTTCCAGATCTGCCATCTATTAATCATTGCCTTTAGTTTTTCATCTGAGGAATGAGGTATTTGAAATCATTTAAAAAACTGTATCTGGCACAGTTTTTTCTGTGCCACCACAGCATGGCTGTCCCACAGTTTCAGGAGTTAGACAGTCAGATACCTGTTGACTTGTTAGCTGTTGGACTTTGGGTAGGTCACATAACTTCTCCATGATTGGTTTCCTGATGTGTGAAATGGGTGTAATGACAGTCTACCTCACAGGGTTGTGGTGAGGCATAAATGAGTGAATATGTGTGAAGTGCTCAGAGCAGAGCTCGTGCGTTTGCTGTCAGTGGTACAAGTGCTCATGGCCGTTCTCTTCAGTGAAGAACTAAAGGTGCTCCTCCCTCCCCTTCCTTCCCTGCCTGCCTTCTCCTCCCCCTCCTTGCCTTCCTCTCCCCTACTTCTCTTCTTTTTCTGCTGCTGTATTATTAGCCTTCTGCTTAAACTCAAAACATGGAAAAGGTTTACTGTTTTAGGTCATCATTATGAAGTTTATTTACAAGTGATTTATCCCTCTGGATCAAGTCATCTGTGGAATTGTGGTGGTTCAGAGATGGATGGGTGCTTCTGACTGAACAAATCTATGTTTGGGCATCCAGCTAGATAGAAACAAATGTGCCTATTAGTACTCCTACTATTTATTATTATTTTTTATTTGGAAAAGAGGAAGAAGAATACCAGTGGGATTTTAACTTACTTCCAGCCAGCTCATCATGTGTGGTTTGTTGCTGGAGTAGAGCAGCACTGAAGACACAAGAGTCAGTCCTGAGTTGCTAAAGAGTCAGAATTTCAGGAATTGAGTTTAGTACCTTCTTTTGGACCTCAGGTGGATTTTTCTGCAGTGAGAACTAAGGACGATGTGTGGTCTGTGCTTAAGAGGGATTGGGCCTCAGAGTGAGAGAGCTCTTGGGAATGAGATAAACAAGGATACTGGTGTTGAGAGGTGAGGACCCCACCCCTCTAGTGAGAAAGAGCAACCTAAGACCAGAAAGTTCTCATACGATGGCTGCTCTGGGTCTGGAGCCACTGCCTGTCTTTCAGAGGAAGAATTATTTGCATTTGAACTGATTTCTCAGATCAGGATTCAATCTGAAGTTGATCAGTTAAATCTGTTTTACTTTACTGTAGAAATTAAAAACGCTGACTATTGCTAATCAGAAGGAAGGTTGGGCAATCTGCTTCCGTAGTGATAACCACCACGGAAACCCAAGGAGGGGTCGCTCTGAGTCAGATGCGACTTGACGGCAGTACGTATTGCTATAGAGAAAGAACAGAGCCTTCCTGGCAGTATTCTGCTTTCCCTCATGAGGATTCTGGAGGCAGATACTATGAGGGCCTCTTCTCACCTGTGACACAGGGGCCCACTTGCAGGTGGTGGAGGTCTGCTGCTTTGCCTTTTCTTTATCATCTCTGTTATTTTACCGACAAATCCCTGGACCTTACTTGGTTCTATTATTGGATATGCCTCGGGGCCCGAGTGACTTGTGATGTAGAGGCTTGAACTGAGCAGCTAGTGGTGGGGAAGGTCAGGGCAGGAAGAGCCAGCACAGAGAACCGACCAGCACTCGTTGGAGCCCGTTGGCGGTCAGGGAAATTGGTGACAGTACCGTTGGGGTGGGTGGTGACTGCTCCCCGGCTCCTGGTGTCCTGTCTATTTAGGCGGCCAGGCAGGGCAGAGAGAAGCAGGGGCTTGGATTCTGGGATTCAGGGGCAGAGTCCTGGGCCTGGAGTCAGTGGGAACATGGGGACTCCTCTGGGGAGTGCAGAGGAGGATCCCAGTTCAGGGGTGTGGGTGTCAGAATTGACTCGGTTAGTGGAAAGCCGCTGTACAGGGAGCATTCTGCAACAGTGAGGGGAGTGGTGTTGGGACCTGTCGAATCCAGTAGCCTCAAATGTCTTAAATTCTGGAACTGATTCTATTCCTAATATAGTAGAATTTTACTTTGGTCATCAAAAATGAAAGTGTGGGGCTGCCTCACACATTCATATGACAGAATATGAAATGTGAGAGAAAGGCACAGGCATTTAGAGTCATTCCTAATCTAGAACTCTTGGGACCGCCTTTGGGGGTTGTCTGCAGCCTGCCCAGGGGAGCTGAGGACGTGCGGTTAGAACCCTCTAGTGAGGGATTGGGACACCTGGTAAACAGCGCCAGGTAGTTCTGCAGTGAAAATGAAGGTATTGATGTCCTTCCTCTAAGCACGATGTGTTCACACGGTCAGCAGTCGGCAGCTGTGGGCCTTTCAGGGAATACTGCTGCTTAGCTTCAACTTCGGGGTTTTTTTTTTTTTTTAAAAAACAGGTTTATTTCTGTCCAAAACTTTTGAAGAAAACTTGTATGTAACAATTTTAATAGATATTCTCCATATAGTTGTTGCTGATAAATTTTTGCTCTTTATTGATGATAAGAATGATTTTCCACATTTTGGGACTGCAGATCCTTGGGAGCTCATTGGGTCCTGCCAGAGTGGGATGGAAACGTGATGCGGTGAGGCTGCTGATAGAGGAGCCCCGTGAAGTGCTTGGGGAGCTGACCTCAGCACAGAGATCAGGCTGTGAGAAGAACCACTGAAGCTGGTCACACGGACCCCACTGTGATTGAACAGGAAACTGTCAGGGAGCTTCATCAGGTCACAGAGTGAAGCCACTACCTTGGGGGTTTTGGCAACCATGAGACTCAGGCTGTCATCAGATGTCACCGTCTTTAAGCCCTCGTGACTGTGGGCAGGTTACCTATCTTCTCTCTGCCTTGATTTCTTCTTCTGTAAAAGGGACGTAATGATAGCTCTGCCCTTGTGGAATTGCTGTGGGAGCAAATGAGCTCAGTCCTGTAAGCCTCAAAGTACAGTGGCTGCCTTATAGTGCAGTCCATGTGAACTGTGCTGTTGACTCGTTCATATGTAACTCTAGCTGTCAGTCTTCTTTCTTGTTGAGATAAGACACAATTTTCACAGAGTGCTATGGCTATAAGGATGACTTATTTTGTCTGTCACAGTGTTGGATGCATATATGTGTTCAACAAGCGTGACCTCTTCATGGTTTGGTCTGTTTGTAAGTAAGAGCTATTGGTTTAGTGTGCCTGCCCCTATAACAACTACCACAGCCGTGGCACTCACTTGCTTCTGGAAGTGGGTCTGAGAGCTTCTTTTGGTTTTAAACTCCTTGGAAGGAAGGTTGGGCAATCCTACTTCCGTAGTGATACTGCCTCGGAAACCCAAGGAGGGGTCGCTATGAGTCGAGGTCGACTCAACGGCACATAACAACAACAACAACAGGGTGAGAAGAACCTCCCTCCCGCTGTGTATGCACTGGGAGACAGCTCGGGGCAGGAGTGCATGGGAGGGAAGCACATAGGGAAGAGGTGGCTGTGGGGAGGAGGTGGGAGGAGAGCTGTTGTGGGAGATCGCAGTCAATGTCATGAGACACAGAGTGTGTGTGAGCTGCTGTATGGAAGATGAATTTGCTCTGTAAACTTTCACCCAAATAACAGTAAAATTAAAAAAGAGAAAAAAAGGTGAGCCTCCTTCTCTTGTCTGCTTCTCCTTGTTCTTCATGCACCAATTAATTGGCTGCAGCTCTCCGGGGACTCAGACAGGCCGCTGGCACCTTGCCTTTCTCCATGGGGTTTCTTCCATTTGACAGTGGGTTTCTGTGGCTGCTCGTGTGTGCAATTCTCTTTCTGGGAGCAGATCTGCTGTATGGCGCTCTTCAGGAGCCATGAGGTTCATGGGGTTGTGGGTGTGTGTGCTGTTGTTGGTGGAGGATAGGTGATTGTCCAGAGACACTTCTTGACTGCAGAAATATGTATTAAATTACCAAGCAGTGACAATAGCATTGTAACTACTCCATCCTTGAGAGAGAAGATGAGCGTTGAGAAGAAGATGTCTCGATAAAATCTCAGAATTTTTTAAAGCTGTAGATTTAATTAGGTTTTACTTTCAGGCTAAAAACTTGGTATAAAAATGCCCATGTCGTTGGTATATGGATGGATAGATAGGTGGACAGGCTAAACAATTAGGTCTGTCTATGAAATGGGGAGTGTATCCAAGATCATATGTAGGGTTGGCAGACAATGGTCCT